ACCAGACACTTCACCAGACAGCAAACATGGGCTCCCAGAGTTCAGCTGGAGAATCCAGGCTTTAGCAGGGGTGCTGCTCCTAAGCCACAGGTGAGGGCACTTGTCTGCTGCCCTTTGTGTTTCTGGAAGGATATACACACAAAGGTGCTGACTGGAGAGGGGAAGGATGAGATCAGATCTGCACAAAACCCATCAAAAGTAAAACAGAAAGCATTTTCCCTCAGTATTTTACAGTCACAGAAGTCAAAATACTGCTTGTAACAGTAGTAAGGATTACTCTTTCAGCTGTGCTGATTTATACAGATTTAACAAACACCATATAATATGGGAAAATTTAGAACTGTAACCTTCTCCTTTCATATCAACAGTCCTAATTTTTTTTTTTAATTTTACAAGTGAATTTAACACAAATTTAGCTCTGTAAGTTGAATTTTCACATGCTGCCTTCTTCCAGTTTTGCCTTGACTTACATGCTGCTATGTGATTTTTTTTCACTTGCCACTTCTAAACAAGAGAGACAGTGTCAGAACATAAAGACATAAAGCACAAATCAATACAGAGAATAAAATCTCTAATTGGTAGCTGCTGTCAGCCTAGAAGATTCTCCTTAACAAGATAATTTCCTAAATTTCTGTGAAAGGAACATTTATCCTTCTTCTTCTTAACTTATGCCATGCAAGACTTGGTGGTTACTTTTATTGATCACTCAGACAATCATAAAGAATAATGTTTTGCTTAAACTGATGCTGCAGATGTAGACCAATTTCAAATTGCCTAAAAAATCTTTCTTTTGATGCTAATAGTCTACTTTATGAGAGGAGCCAGCTTCTTTTCCTCTCTGGCTGGAACTGGGAGAATGCACCTGCCTGGGTGACTCGGTGGGAAGCAAGAAGGGAGCTGAGCTGTGCATGGGGCTAGCAGGGTCAACATGTTCCGCTGCTCGAGAAAGAGTAATTCCTGGCATCTGCCAAGGGGATCTAGCCACCAAAAAAATGTTTATTGCAAAACATTTTCACCAATGATGTGGAGCAGGCAGCTGCCCTGTGAGGGCTGGGGCTGAGCTGGGTGTCTCCCACAGCCACAAGGGCCAGGAGTGGGGGAGGCTGCAGCAGCGGGCTCCAGTTTGCAGACATCTTGTTCACTGTAGGGTTTGTGCCATCGGAGGATAACGTGGTCAAGCGTGTTTCTTTCTGACACTGGTTAACCAAATCTGTTGCTCTTGTTTGGAAATGGCAAGTGAGAAATGTGCAGAGTGGAGACAGATACAAAGCAGCGTGAAAAGATTCAATTCACGGGACTGAATTTGAGTTTAATTCACTGGGAGCAGCTCTGCCGGCCGCGGTGGCAATCTGCAGGGCTTTGCGAGTACAGCAGCTGCGGCGGCTGTCGGCAGCGAGGTGCGCGCTGTCAAACAGCGAGAGGTACACCCATCACCTCCACTGCCTTACGAGAAGTCATCATTAAGGCTGAAGCGTGTTAGTTTGGGCTCCTTTCCACCCCAAAATGAGCATCCAAGCTCGGGAGAAGGAGAGCGGCGCGGCGGCCGCTGGGGGGAGATGTTCCCCCGGGCCAGCCGCAGCCTCCGCTGGAGCCCCGCTCAGCCACCGGCGCTAAAAGCTTGGATTTGAGGCGAGACGTCTCGGGGGGCTGCGAGGCAGGAATACTTCAAAATGTGTTTCGCACCACAGCAGAGCGAGCTCTTTAAAATGGTGGGAAATGTCCCCCAGAAGTCTTTTTTTTGGTAACGAATTACCCGTGAAAGCTTTTAACGCTTTCAGTCACGCGTGGAGATTAATGAAGCAACAGCTTTGGGGGCAAGGAAAGGAGAGTTTTGAAAGATAGTGGTTAGTAAATGGGAAAGATGCCATTATATTACCTTTACATTTCCTGGTGTTTAAAGCTGCAGTCCTTGAGGATATCTGTAAGTCACAAGGGTAAGATGAATACTCTTATAAACTGAAATAATGAAGTGGTGGTGAATCCTTTAAGATTGCCAGGACAAGAATTATTACAATACAAAAAATGCAAAGGTGTCATGTAAAGACATTTTCTTGCCCTTAATAGATTTAAACAGTGATGGAAAGTATTCATTAAGCATGATGTGTTTGGACCAGATTTTTTGGATCAGATTAAGCTACCTCACTCTCCAAACAGCCCCACTGATCTGCTTGTGAAGCTACTGTTTGGAGGGAGTAAATTTATTCCTCTTGCTTGCAAATTAAAAAATTGAAGGTAAACTGAGACTTAATCTTCAGGGTGAGAAAACAGCACCAAGCAGTCAAATATGGGAACAAGTGGCCAGGTACAATACAAATACAGAGCATTTTCATGTTCATTTCCATAACCAAAGTGTGGAAAACCTGTTCTGTGATGTGCAGTCCCTATTTATAGCATGATATTCTAAATATCCTAGAGAAAAGGATAATTTTCACCCTAAAATCAGGCAGTGTGCTATTCTGTGGATCCAAGCACAAAACGGCCAATTTGAGGATGACAAAAAGAAGAAGCAGTGTATTTCTGCTGCTGATATATGCCTGATATATAAGACTCCTCTCCAGTCTAATAGACTGGGTAGCTATAGGAAATATGATTACTCTGCATATATATGACAAATGATGCCTGAGAGTTTTGCTGTAGAGTTCAGTAAATGCAGATTATTGTTTCAGAAGGCAGAAGTGATTCCTGAAATTCTTGTCATCATATCTTTGAAAAGATCAATCATAATAAAATGCTGAGCAGGCTAATAAAGTACTTCTCAAGCTCTCCGACTATCTGATTAATTTCTTATGATTTTGAGGTAAAACTATGGATCAGCACATGAAATACGGCCCAGGTTAGAAGATGAGTTCCCAGATATAATGAACCTGGTTTATGAACTAAGCTGAGATCTTACTGTTCAATTGCTTTGTTCAAGTGTAGACCAGAAAATAAAATCCTGCTTATTTCAGAACTTTCTTTGGTGTTTCCACAGGTTTTATGATACTTTTACAATGGATGGAGACTTAGAACAAAAGCATAAAGGCAGATTCAACTCCTTCTGAATCTAAATCTTCCTCTATGAAGAGTTTCTTGTAATATAAAGAAATTCCCTACTGAGGCAATCTTCTCCTTATTTATTTCAGGATCACATGAACTGGTAGAGAATGTCCTAAACTTTCTTCCTAATTCCCTGTTAGACAAACTGTCTAGAGTCAGAACAACCCTGGCCTCAAACTTCTTCCTACAGTCTCCTGCTGAGTGTAAAATATGGCTGTCTTGTGGTTTGAATAAGGCTTTTAATGTCCCATGGGATTTCACGGTCCACAGAAATGGAATACAGTGTTCTACTTGCTGAGAAACAGAAAAAAAGCTAACCAAACTGGTTTCTTCCTCCTGAGTACATAGTGACTGGCTGGAAATCCAATCACTGAGACTAAAAATATCAGCCTTGATCACAAAAAAAAAAAAAGCACCTGACAGATGGATTTAGTCTGCCTTCAGCACAAACATCTATTTTCTACTAAAAGTTTTGTGAGTTCACTGATCTTGTCTCCCAGCACATTTTTGACACTCTGGGATAAGATGGATGTTATTCCTTCAAATTAATCCCCCCAAGAGCTCTCATGGGAATCATACTGGTTTATAGTTTGTACATGGCTGGGGGAAAAAGAAAGTTTACCTGACCATATAGAAGAAACAACTCTTAAAATTAGTGCTTGGTCCCTCCCCACTGCAATGCTTAAAAGAGCTGAAGTGCTGACCCCATAGTCCTCACATCTCTACCTACAGGCACAGACTGCTCTGACCAGGCTGGGCAGTGATTTCTATGAAATGCCAATGAACATAGAAGCACTTCAGGAACAGCACACAAGGAGTGCAGCATCAAACATCTCCAGTGATGCTGAACATTCCTGCAGATTTCTTACTGCCTTTTTTCGCTTCCATCTTCCTGATGCAAAAGTTGCAGGGCCAAGTGTGATGTGAGATGGGATGTTCCATCCAGCCTTTATGAAGACTCACATGTGAAAATGGCCACCAGCTGACAATGAGATTTCAGAAGCAAAATAAATCAGCATTGCTTTGAGTCAGCTTTTGTCCAGGGAATGGAAACTTCAGAAAGTGTGTAATGAAGACCATGGGCACAGGCTTTGTACCTAAGTGCTTGAGCATGTAGAGAAGTTGGTGAGACAGCTTAGAGATACATTTGGAAAATCTTTGCTCTCACTCCTCTACAAAGGTGGACCCTTGCATAGTCCCGATTCTGAGGATAATATTACTTTACAGCACTTTTTTAATTCCAAGCCATCACTGAGATGAATTTTCTTCTAGGCTTTACAGCACACTTTTTTACCGTGTTGGACTCAACCAAGGCTAGTCTCCATTTTAATAGATGTATTTTCCACAGGAAATTAATGTATTGTTTCCCCAAAGCTATTTCAGTCTCTAAACTGCACTGCACTCTGCCCAGTTGCACGATATTTCAGCCAGCCAAACAAATCTAGTGCCCCTGACAGTCCTTTCAGTAATGCTAGCCAAGGGAATTGTGTCAGGCTTGGATTTACTACTTGGATCCTCCAAATGACAGTGCCCTGCAAGCGATCTGGTGGATTAATATCCCTGTAATTTTTTCCCCCAGTAACCCTGTATGGAGGGATAACAGTGTTTTCCTAATTGTTGTGTTAGTCTTCTGACCACATGTGTGCCATGGTACCTACAGGTACCAGGATATATAGTATATATGGACAGTATGTGTATCATGGTACCTGCAGACACCAAGATGTGTGGTATTTATGGACTGTACATTTATATAGATACCAGTGTATTCTGTCTCTGACTGTGGATTTGTATATTTGTAAAATTCTTTTCATTCAATATTTAAAATTAGCATGGGTAGTTTGATTTCTCCCTTTTCTCAGGAGGCATTAATAAAATGGCAGTGGGGGTGCAGCTTCACTTTTACAGTGTCAAATGCCTGCAAACAGCAATGAGCCCTTCCCTGAGCCATTCTCTGTGGGGATGACAAGTCGCTGGCGGCTGTCAGGTCTGCGTAGGAAATCTCCACGGCAGTGCTGAGAATGTTTATTGTAGGGAGAGAACTTTTGCCCTGTGAAGTCACCTCCTACTAGTCACCAGTAGGTTTCTGATATTCTATCACAGGAAATTCCTGGTGGACCACAAAAGCAATCCCCTGAGTCCAGCTGCTGGTGGGGAGCAGTGGTGCACCACACCACCCGGCTGAGCCTCAGCCTCCAGTGTGGGGCAGAGCACCTGTGCCCTGCAAAATGCAAACTCTGTGCTCCTCAAACAATGTTAAAATGAACTATACAAAGGGGCAAAGGTCAAGTGAACCATTATTGTGCTGCATTTTATGCAAACAAAAAAAAATGTATTAGAGGATGTGCTTTGTATTGTAACAAGGTACTGTAAGATTATATTTAGGCTTCATGTCTTTGAAGCCCTTGGTAACACAACTGTATAATCGCAGCTCTTGATGTTAATGAGGAAGTTATATTATAAGGTACCCCATCTAACTGGGAACAGTGTAGGAAGAATTAATAACCTCTAGGAAAGCATATAAAATCAGCTCTCAAGACCTCCAATGCTATCAGGCGAATATATATACATTTCTACAAAGGAGAAAAGAAAGGAAAAAAAAAGAGCAATAGATAATTACTTTTGTCACCTTTGAATACAAAGGCATTGCTTGGCAGGTGACAGTGCTTTTTCTTGCACAGCTTGGAGGGCGATGCCCTCATTAACACTCCATTTTCCTCTGCTCTTTTGTCAGGGTTTCAAGCATTCAGTTACAGTAGCAAGCAAGATTGATGATGATGATGATGATGAACCTTTATCTGTGCGAGATAGTGCACAGCAGGGAAGCAGCCTTGGAAAAGATGAACACCATGTATGTGGCTGGATGCTGTGGGGCTGTTTGTGCTGTAACTAAAAGACATCAAATTCCTTCTTTCTTTATGAAGATAAGAATACTGTGAAACCAAAATAGTGACCCCTGCTAAAAATGGATGACACACCTCCAGAGAGCTGCTATTAACCTCTAATCAATGTCTAATTTCATCTGTCTGCAACCTCAGGATGTGTAAGCCCTCTGAAAAAGGCCATCTCTGGAGTTTTTAGGATTTGGATGCCACACTGCTTGTTTGGTTCTTCTGAAGTTCTTCCCTGTTCATTGACTTTTGCATCATCACACCATGGCTGAGCAGCCTCATCAGAGCAATCTGTGCCAGTGTGTGCAGGTGCAAGCAGCAAGGAGCCAACACTTCAGGCATTGGCTCCTTTAACCAGAGCAGCGCAGCAGAACAAAATAATGCTTTAAGATGTTGTGTGGTTTGGGATTTAGATGGTGGTGCATTTGTTTGAGTTAATGAATATGGCTGCCTGATCTGGTTTTTGCAAAGAACACTTCTGGGAGGGGAAAACTATTTATGTCTGATAATGAGCACTGTGGTAACCTGCAGCAGCTGCACCAGGTCCTCATAATCCCAGAGCATCATATTTCCAGACCTAGGAGAAAGGCATTATAAAGATGCTATCCAGACTCCCATGTGGTTTAGAGGCACATGCACCATTTTTAAAACCTGACTTACTGAGAACTGATGGGCAAGGTAGGGCCTGTAGAGAAGTCAGAGGGGCATTTTTGAAAACTGTACCCCTTATTTTAAAAGAAAGGAAAACGTGAGGCAATCACAGCTGATTCAGCATCCGGCAGCCTCAGCCAAGTCATATTTTACCTCTTCCCTTCCCTCCCTGCACAAAACTTCCAGGAAAACCTGCAAAGAAAAGGCATATGTGGGTAGGAGGAGACCTGCTTTTAATTTCTGTACCTCCTATTCAACACAATGCCACACAATGCACAGGATGCGAATATCCCAAGGCACCTTATACAATACAAGTAACAAAAGCACACACACATGCACCAGAAAAGGGGGAGCAGCAAGCATGACATGGTTCTAAAACAAAATGCAGGTAAAGCTGTCTGTAAAATGCTTATGTAAAGGGTATATGTGAAAAACATCATCTTGCAAAGGGAGAAGGTGGATGCTGAAGAAATGTTCAGGTGATCACAAGAATTTGATTTCCATTTCAGAACAGGGTTTATCTGTTTTTCCCTCCTGTGTTGAAAGTAGTGGTCAGATTTTCATTATCAACAGTGCAATCAGTGCCTCCCCAGTGAAACACCCCCTGATGCTTCTGTGATCCCATCTATGGAGCAACCTGGTATCAGCACTGAGTCATAGCATGGCTGTTCCTTGTTTCCCGGTCTTTTGACTTTGGAGAGAAAGTGTGTGTAGGAGCTGCTCACTCCCACAGACCGAACACCATCTGTTTAAGAGAGATTGTTCATGGGACCATATTCTGGTCAAGTGATGGAAAGTATTTGGAGAAACACCCAGCATTAAAGCTACTGTCAACACTAAATGAGTGCATCAGAGCCTCAACAAAGAAATCTAAGTTTTCTTCAGCTCTCTTGCTGATGCATTGCTCCACATTTCCATTAGAAAGACAGTGTTGTGGATGAAACAGCTGGAACCTTGCCTGACCTCCTCCTGCTTGCAAGCTCATGAAAAAGTTAGTGACCAAGGAGCTCACAAAATCTGCAAACCTACAATCTACAAAAAAACCCTACAATCTACCAAAAACCCCCATGTAGTTTTGAGATATTTGCAGCAAGAATGTCTTCTATGTTTTTGAACAGGAATAAAAGAAAAACACTAAATTAAAAGTAAGAGGCAAGATCTTACTCTTTCTTTATCAAATGTACTCTGTTTTAATGTAAAGGTGTTTGTACTTAGAAAAAACGACATGATTTTTAGTCAAAATAGTGTTAGCTAGGACTCAAAATCAAATGTGAACATACAGAGGCATAAAGGATAAACTGCAAGAAATTTAAGTGGTATGTAACCATGAATCCCTTCTCCCTATTGCACGTGGTCTCTAGAGGAACTTAATATACATTACTTCTGTGTTTAAGAAAAAATGGAGTTGGCACTTTTTTTATATTTGCATGTTGATGGGCAGTTGCTATCAGTATAATGTAATTTTAGTGGCCGCATAGAATTGTTTGCAACAGCTTAGCTGCCAAATTCTGAATCCAAATAAAATGAACAATACAAAATTTTTCTTTTATAGAGGTATGATTACCACATCAAATCCATAATTGGTGTAACATTACTAGGAAATTTACTAGGAAAGAGGCTGAAAATAATAAAAATACCAGAGAAGTTTTTTTCTTTACACAGTGAGACAAGGCAGAGTTTTTATATATTGACTCTTGAAATTATGACTGGAAAAACCAAATGGCTCAAACCCACCTGCAGTCATGGTATGGCAACCGTGCCTTCTGTGGGGTGTAAAGCTGCAATTGCTGTGCTTTTATAAGCCACATCCAAGTTTCTGTAAAGTATGTGTGCCTACTTTATAGTATTGTATACCACTACTCCTTACATTGCACTTATGCGTTGATTTTGCTTTCCTAAAAGAAAAGGGGAAAAAACCCACAAAAAATGAACAAGGGTTTTTTATACTAGGTAAGTAAATGTTACTTAAAAAATTAGTTTATCTTTGGTGTGTGTTTGTACATTGTATCCAAAGTTTTGTATTTTGATAAGAGATTAGATAAGTAAAGAGCCTCTCATTCAGAGCCTCTCAGTCCAGCCCCACTTCCCAATGAGCTCCTCACCTAGGGATTGTAGGCTGCAGGCTTCACCTTCCCACACAGCTCTGAAGAATCTGGCTTTGTCTGGTGTCTCATACTCCTGACAAGCTCAGGAAAAGGAGTAATTTGTGCTTGGACATTGGACTGAGTGGTGAAAGTGACCAAAAATGAATCAGTAGGTTCGTTCCAGTAAGTGATTTCATTTTTTCTTGCGTTGAAAAAAATTTACTTGGCTGAAAGCCAGTGATTTGCCTAGAAAGACTCTGAACACAAACGATCTCTGCTCTGTGAAAATTAGCTTGCATTATGCATCAATACCCTTTTACATGTTCTAGTGTCTGTAAGTGTGCACTTATAAATCTATGTTTTTATAATAAAATAGTTCCCCAAGCTTATCCCATGGATACTCTGCTTATAGTTTCTTGCAGAAGATAGAACTCTTATCTCTGCATAACATCTATTTATGTATTTCCAGTCATACAGAATCCAAATTACTTTGTAGTCATGTGGTTGTAGGCAGAGTCAATTTCTGAAGACCCTTGTCCCTTCTACATGAATTGGATAAACTGAATGAAAAATTTAGTGGTCTGATTACCAGTAAACTTTTCTGCAGTTTCAAATTACTCCTATTTTGCACTGTAAAAACCAAGACCTTTTGGAGAGACTGAAGTGGTTAGATTTTGAGTATGTAAAATCAGAAAGACTGACTCAACGTAAAGGAGCCCTGAGATACGAGTCCATGAATTTAAGGAATATTTCAAGAGTGTGTCACGATCAACAGAGCTTGTCTGCTCCACAAAGGAGTAGCTCTGTAGAGAAGCCAGAATTTCTCACACATGGGCTACAGTATCACTAAACTGCCTTAAGAAAAATTTACTTTTTTTAAACAATTAATTCTGTTGTTTTCCATAGGTCTACTTTTGAAGGGCAAGATAACCTTTCTCTGTACAGAGTAAAAGCTACATTGGTTCTGCTATGCTACCATTCTAAATTTCCTCCATCATATTCCAGGGCAAAGAAAAATGATCAAGTTTTCAAAAACTGAATAAAATATGTAAATCTCACATAATGAAAAACTGATACTTTTAGTTTATCTTGAGAGAATAAAGGGTTTTCTGTTGGGGCAATCTGCACAGAAAGAAATATGCTTCATGTGAGCAAAGGCACAAATAGAATCTTTCTGAGATCTTTGGAGTGTAATAAAGCATATCCTAATCAGGGGTGACAACTTCACACAATTAAACAGGTCTGACAGCCCAGTGTTTCTTTGGTGCATGCAGAGCCCTGATGCTGTCCCTGATGAAAAACAGTCTCAGAACCCAGATGGATATTAATCACTGATATCAACAACCTCAGCCTGGCAAGGCAGTGGGAAATTTGTCCAGCCTCCAAACCCTAATTTTGCAGTTAAGACTTCTCTTTCATTTTGGTTTGTCCTGGAACCACAAACATAAACATCTCTTATTTTGTGGGCTGTTAACACACAGAACCTGAACTGAAGATCAGAGCCATCTCCTTCCTCTACTTGTCTGCACTGGATTCCACCTGAACCTCACCTAAGAGTGATAACAGTGATAACAGTGAAATTTGCTTTTAACTAGCCATAGTAATGTCTTCAGATCAGAAACTGTACTTTGGCAGTTTGTGACCCATATTTGGTTTTGACTCATGCTTGTATTTCCAACAAATAACCTAAAAAAGCCCCAAAACAACCACAAACCCTTCTGTTTCTACCTCATCCCTGCAGCACAAAAATGTCAGAGAAAAAGATACGTTATTCTAAAGCTTCTGGTAAAGTGCTATGGCTTTAGATAAAGCACCTGGTTTATGCTTAGGTACAATACACACCACCACAGACTTTAGTGCTTGTGCCAGTTACTATTAGGGGAAATGAGCAGTCGACCATATTACTGACTCCTGCATCTCCCAGGAGTAAAATTCATTTGAATAGCTATGTGTGAATTTGAATTCCCTTCCCAGTCTTGAATAATTAATCTTGGGAAGGCAGGGTAAGAATACCCTAAGTATGTTGCTTAACTGTAGGTGGTGAGCATGGGATATTCTGTTTTTAATACAGGTTTTGGCCAGGAAGCTTCATATCCAATGGATATTATCACATTTATATAATTAGAAAAAAATCACAGTGTCTATCTAGGATTGTTTGGACAAGAATTGTATGTTATTGTCTCAGTGCAGCAGGAATGTCAGCTATGGAGAGAGGAATTCTTCACATCCCACCCATGGGAGCAAGAGGGAATCTCTGGCACATCCCTGTGTCCAGTCCAGCAGTGAGACAGCTTTCAATTGTTGGACACAGCACAAATTAAAAGTGAACTGCAAAGTATGGGGGGAGCATGGGTGTGTTTTGCTTTGACTGCGCTGCAGTGCACAAAGGACACATTTTCCTCCTGATTTTTCCCCCTCTCTGTGTTTCTTTTTTTTGTTTGTTTTTTTAACATGAGGAATTTGGGTTTGTTTGTCCCTGGAAGACTCTGTGACTAAGCTGAACTAATAATACTACTGTAGTGAATGCTGAGAAATCAAAAGGAAATCAAAAGTGGTAGATGTGATAGCATTAGCTAAATGGTTTCACTCAATCTTTAGGGCCTTCCAACCTAAGTGACTGTATGATTTCTGCAACCAGGACAGTGTCAGTACATTATGAGCTGCCTCTGCCTTTTCTAACATTGCACTGACAACTGGAATACTAAATTTCTTGGCCATGTACCTGTGGAGCTCTGGGGTGGCCAGTTCTGAATACTAGCAGCATTAGGTATCCTATGATGGATATGTAAGCCATTTTTTTATTCAAGCATTCTGATGCTGGTCAAGAGAGTTGAGCTCTTTGCTGAGCTGTGAAAGGAACTACTTTCACCTTTAAAATTCTAACAGTCATGTGTATTTGATTTTTCCCTCTCTGCTGCTTGTCCTGTGCTACAAGTGCTGGATCACATTCCAGGACCCCAAGGAGACCACTATATGCGGAGTATTTCTTCTGCATGGAGGCTGCCACCACAATGCTTGAACTTTCTGCGAGGCACATCACTGCTTTGTGGGGTTATACACCATCTTAAATTTTCTCTGTATTTTTCCAACTCCAGAAAAAGCATTGCCCCAAGTACCATGTCCAGCTACAGGTCCTTATTAGAGAAATAGAAGCCAGGAGTGTTGGCACCTGTAGTGCCCCTCTAACACCTGCAGTGCTGAGTACAGGGCTGTGTGAATGGGCCCAGCACAAGGGAAAGGCTGAAAGGAGCTGTGCACTCAAACCCCAAAGCAGCTGCCCCTCAGCCCATACCAGTCACAGCTACAGAGTGCAGCGTGCATCCAGCCACACACTCTTCTTGTTGGCTCTCTGTGGAGATGCTGGTGGGTATGGCTGTTCCCTAGAACCCTGGCTGTTTCCATGAGAAGAAGGTGTGGAAGATATGTGTGATCTGATGAGCAGCGGCCACCACCTCCAGGTTTCCAGAGGGAAGAAAGCCTAGATGGGTGACTTTGGTGAGGAAACTCTTCCAGCATTTTCCTTCTTGCAGCTGTGGGCTGCTGAGTGCCATTAGATGAGTGATCATGGACTTCTCCTGCAGGTCAGTGCATTGCTCCTGCTGGGAGAGATTTAAAATATTGGATGGGTGAAGTGTGTGTGCCAGAGCAACAGAAGCAAGGAATCCCATTTTGGGTGCTGGACACCTTCACACAAAGAACAGATTCCTTGGGCAGATTCTGATGCAGCTGATATAGGTGGGTCATAGTCTGGAGTAAGCGCCAGAGTCTGTAGCACCAAGCAAGGCAACAGAGCATCAGCACTGAGGTAGGGCCATGGATTTGACTCATATGTGGGTTTTGGAGCCAGGATCAGTGTCTCTGCCATGGGGGTGTCTTCTGACATTTTTCTGTTCCTCCTTTAGGGCCTTCACCCCTCAAATTGTACATTAAGTGGCAGGGGTCTTTGCAATATTGCCTGGCAAGGACATAGAAGATAAGAACAGCAACATGCAAACATAGATTCAGAACGTCTTAGGTCTTCATTTCAGACCCCTGGTTTCCCTGGTATTGGTGTTGTAAAACCCCTTTCCAGCTGAAGTCTGTTCCTCCAGGAGAACTTTGAAGCCATAATGAAAATAGATGCATTTTTTCCCATTTGATCCAATTTATACATCAAAATAGACAAATAGGTGATGCAAGCTCATGTCAAGTAAAAAAAAAAAAAAAAGTAAAAAACCCAAGAGGGCTAATAAAGTTGTGTAGGTTTAGAAGTGATTATTAGACATAATAATTTATTTTCTGATTCTGTACCTGTGTCTTTGTACAGTAGTCTGTCGCAGCAGTACCTGTATGGTAAGGTAAAATCCTTCTGGGGAATCCTGACAGCAGCTCACAGGCAGGATGGCAGGCGTAGGAATCCATGGGTGAACAGTGGCTAAGCTGGCTCAGCT